CACGTGCTTACGTTTTCCTAGGATTAACCACACTGTCAAATCGCGCTTTTTCAGGCGACGTTTTAGCAACCTCATCATCACGATTTCTCTCCCCAGGCAACCGTATAAATAGGGGTGATCGTTTTATTTGTCATTTACCAAGCCTCAGATTATCTCTCTCATACAAGGATTAAACTGTTCATGTTCTTCTTCGTTCATGAATGGCGACCTCATCCTCCGCGCATGATCAAACTGCAACATCCTCCTTGCTTACAATCCAACCCAACCAAAATATGATAATCGAAATGAGTCCATTCGCATATGACTCATATATGTTGCATGTGGTGGAGTGTCTAAAGTATTCCCCTCTGGTAATGGCTCTAACCATAGTCGAAGCAGTTCTGACGTCGCTACTATCTCAAGTGTACTCATCAGCGACGTATGACAAGAATAAGGATCTCATCTACTACAGTATTCACGATAAGAAATCCTCGATTTCAAAGACGAAGTTTTGTTCCCTTTTAGGGCTCGCAGTTGATTCCTCCATCATCTCACCTGACTTCATCACGACAACCCAAATCTTCACCATGCTGTGCGAGATGGGGTACACCGACGTACATACATTAATGGCGAAGGTCAAGAAGTCCTGCTTACCATCGCAGTGGAATGGGCTGCTGACCCTGCTCATCAAGGGTTTGGTGGAAAGAATTGGTGGTTCTGATACCACAAGCAAAGGCTTTCTCACCATTCTTTATGGTATATATAACGGGATCAATCTAGATTATGGCACGATAATCTGGTCGCAAGTGGTGCAGAGTTTGAATACCACAACTCATCACTCAGAGATTTCTTGTGGCCGTTTCTGGACCGTGATTACAAGAAAAGCCATGGATTCTTTGGAGATTCCGGTTATGAAAGACGCTCTTCTTTCCTCTATCGCTTCATTTCACACCATGAAGATTATTTTATCTGATCCACGTAAGTTTCCTCATTATGGATCAATTCCTGAATCGATATACAGGTGTGTCACAGCACAGAGCACGGTAATGGAAGATTACAGAAAATTGTCTCCAGTTGGTCCGAGGGTCTTGTCTGCAGAACAACAAGCTGCACTAGATGCTTTGGAACAACTGCTCCCAGAGGCAAGCGGGTGGTGAAAACAGAGAAAGAAGAGCAAAGGAGAAAAAGCCGAAAATTTCAAAGCAAAAGGCTGGTGAGGAAGCTTCTTCTCATACAAAGCCAAAGAAGATTAAAAAGATGGCTAAAAGGCCCAAGAGAAATTTGTCTCCTGAACCTGAAACCATTGAAGATCAAGAAGCAGAAACTGAGAATCCTCCAGTCTTCACCAGAGAGCCTACACCAATGATATCTCCAACCCCACCTGCATCTCCTAAAGATACTCACATTCCTACTCCACCAGTCTCTTCTGAAACTACTAGACTTCCATCTACTCAACCCACAAAAATTTCCACTCCAACCCAATCACCAAAACATAAAGCTCCACTTTCTGTTCCCACAGATATACCAACCCTTCCTATTGAAAACTACTTCTCTACGAACTTCAACCACCAATACCTCTGTTCCTATCTCCACTACACCCATCTCAACTCCTCTTGCAACAGAATCCATCACCACCACCATTCCCCAAATCCCAGTAGAAGTCAATATATCTGATACAAGGGCTACTACTGTGATTGATCCACTTGTTTCTAAACCACCACCTCCCACCCCATCTTCTAACCCTGGTGCTACTTTAGGAGGAGATGACGAAGAGTATGATTCTTTATACTTTAGTCCTTACCGGCTTCCAACTGATACCGATGTTGACGCTCCTCCAATAATCAACAACTTCAAGACATTAATGAAAAGCTTGACCGACTGCTTGCAGACAGCAAAGCTTATAGCGGGGTTGTCATGAAAGCTTTTGTGGAGACTGATATTCAGCAATATACTGAAGCCATTGACCAATCTACTACTGCAGTTAACAAGTCCACAACTTCATGTTCCCAGGCCATAGATAAGGTTACTGAGGTTGTTCATACAACTCAGATTTTCCTTGATTCGCTCAAAGCTCATGCTGATACTAATGCAGCAAAATATCAAGCTTCTGTGGACTCTTTTCCCACACTCTTCAAGAAGAAACTACCAAGTTTGATGCCCTTCGTGCTAATCTCAAAACAGAATCCACATCTTTTCTTCAATCCTTGGATTCTCGTTTTGCTATTTTAACTGCAGAAAGCACATTGAAGGAGGACTTGATCAAACACCAGGCAACTATTGAGCTACAGAAAGTACAACTTGCCCAGAATGAAAAGGAGATCTCTCTGCTCAAGACTCAACGGGCTATCTTTCAAAGTTGTGCTGGTGATGTGAAGAATATGTTGACTGCTCTTCTCGAAGCCCATGATCCGATTCTGACTTTGACTATTCGCAAGCATCTCCAAACTAAACTTCTTCCTATCATTTATCTTCTTAGTGAAATGAAAGGTGTCTCGGAGAATGTCTTTCTTCCGAAACAAGGGGAGAGGAGAGTAAAGTCAAAATAGAACCAAAGGTTAATGTAGCTTCGGTTCTGGAAAGAAAATTCTAGACGACAGTGACTCTGATCCTGAAGAGACTATTGTCGAAGCTCTCAAGAGAAAGAAACGAGACAGAGAGCTTGATGAGACTCTGATGGTGGCAAAAGAGGCTGAAGAGAAGGAGAAAAAGAGTAAAGAAGAAGAGGAGTTCTTGCAGTGCAAAAAGACTCTGTTTCCCGAGTGGGACAGAGATACTCTTATCATCCAGGCGATTGAGTTTCCTTCCATGTATTGGTTGGAACCGATTGCTTCTTTTGAATGTGAAAACTCAAAGGACTCGCAGTTTGACATGCCAATCACTAAAAGAGCATTTACTTATCATTGCTTTGAGGTCACTGCTGAGGTTCCTTTTCCCAATTTGAAGGTTGACAGGGAGTTAGTCGATTTTTATTTGAAGAACGGTCAACCGCAGTACTTGACTTGGAGTGCACAGAAGATTACAAGAGTCAAGGTACTGAAATCATCACTTGCTGGGAGATTTATGAATGTACACTTCAAGATTAACCGTGGTACTGCAAACACGGAATATTTCATCTCTCTGGCAGATCTTCCCAATCTTAATCCTCATGATTGGATTTTTCTATACAACATTCTGCTCTCAAATCAAAGAGAGTATGAGCCGATTTTGAAACATCTTAAAAGAATGTTGGCCTCCTATATCCATGACCTTGCCACAATGGATCAGGAGATAGCAAGAGTGATGAATAAGAAGCCGATAGTGAAGCCAACATCTAAGCCCGGTGATGTAAATAAAATGAAGTTGGGGCAGATTGATTCAACAAACTTGACTATCATGTTCACTAAGGGTGACAGACATAAGTTTCTATTTGCATTGGTTGACAAGCATCTATTTTCAACAGATTGTTTGGAGCATATTATCAACATCATTCATCCATGCAAGCAGAACTCTGCATCAGACAAGAAGAATTTTACAGATATGCTTTGGTGGTATATAACATTTAGACAACACGTTCTGGCCATTATACCGAGGATATTTGAAACGGTGAAGAAGCCTACTGGTGTGAAAAGAGAATAGAGTTTCTGCTCCAAAGACGCAAAAGGGGATATTATTGAATATTTAGTGTTGCGTCTTGGGCTTTTTGATTTGTAATCGGATTGGGCTTATCCATCCGTAGTTATCTAGAATAGTTTCCTTTATCTAGATAAGTTGTTAGGGTTTTGTTATAAATATATGCATGATGGATGCGTATAAGAGAGAATAGTCGTTCTCGTTGATTCTTGTAACCCTAATATTTACCTCTACAGATTGAAGTTCTTAATCAAGCTCTTCTGGGGTATTTTGCATTAATCATTCGACATATTCATTGCAATACGTGTGTTCTTATTTACGTTCTTATTTATATTCTGCTTACAATAATACAATCCTGATAGAACTTTGTTCTAACACTCTGATGTTCCAGTAGATAGCTGTCGAAATGGTATTGATTGCTGATGACATGGCCTGCATATCAGGAGTTATGTACATAGATGAAAGCTCCTTGAATTGGACAGTACATATGCTAAGTTCCAGAATTCAATGGATTAGTTTCTTAAGAGCTTCAAATCAAGGTTTTAATGGAGCCGTATGCTCCATGATTGTTGGAACTTGTTTAAGGATAGCCATAGATTTTGCTAGTTGGTTTGATGAGTAGATTTGAGACAGAATCCAGAATTCTCCATATTTGAGAGAAAAAGTTGCTAGAGTTAGCACCAGTTTTGCATCCCAATGGAAGTTTCCGATAGTGTGGAATAACGCAAGGGCTGTCGTATGTCCATCTGTAACCGTTAAGCATTTGAACGCTATCTGTAAAAAAAGTTACATTTGGATCATTAAAAAAAAACTCAATAAGCTTGTCAAGCTTCGATCAAGGGTTCTAGTTGCAATGTTAGCCATTGGAATCATCAAAAGAACTAGGAGGTTGGTGGTGCAAATAATAAATCTTTCATTGCGGATAAGTAGGGGAATAATGGGAAAGAAAGTGTGGGTTTTCGGAAAAAAGAGGAAAAGGTGAAGAAGTGTAGCCAAAAGGAGAACAGTTTTGGTAATACACTGAATCTGTTTTCTGAAAGATTCTATAGGTCCATGGTTTTGTGAGTTATGTGAAGATTCATCATCTTCTAGAAACAGGGGGTCCCATCTTTCAGTTACAAAGAGAAGGTATCTCATGTAGCGGAATGTTGCTTATGTGGTGGCAATACTGGTGCTTTTAGGAAGTCAACTGAATGTCAATGGTTCCATGCCTTCTATGCCGAGGTAATATTCTTTGATTGTAATTCTTACTTATGAGGTGATATACTATTATTATTATTTACCATAACGTTAATCACTATCAACCTTCTTGTTTTTCTGTTTCTAGTTTTTATCAAATATGATACTAGATTCTTACAATACTTTATTTATTGTTTATTCTAGGCCGAGACTTAAAAACATGGAGTTGAAGAATGGAATTCTCTGAAGAAAGGCAGGGTAAGTTATATTGTTGTTTATAAAAACAATTATTTGAATCCAAAATCTTAATTTTTTTTCTTAAAGTCGTCATGCAAGTTGAATTGGAGAGATTACTCCTCATCTGTGAAAGAATTATCAGACATGAGAAATTGAAGGTAAGCCACATATTTGATTACATATACATATATAGACTAAATGATGATTGATGATTGTAGTGTGAATTGGTGATTTGTTCACATGATATGCTTTTTATGTCCTTACTTTTCAGGTAATGATTAAAATTTGGGTGAATGGTTTTGAAGGCCAAAAATTAGAGGGTCAAAGTGCAACATTTAGTACAAAAATTGCAGAAACATCGAATGGAGGTGCTAAACAGTCTGTTGTAGTACGAAATCCCTCAAATTGTTGTTCCAATCTGTTCTCACAGGTCTAATCCTATATCACTATTGCCTGCAGTTGATATGAGTTAATCCAGCTACAGCTCTTGGCTTGGCTGCACAAACAGCCGTATCTAAGGGTTCAAGAACTAATACTCCAGACTTCACAAACGAATTTCAAGATGTTAGGTTTCAAGAACAGATTGATTCAGATGAATCCACCAAAAAAATTTCATAAAACCTCGTTATTTTCTCTCCATTTTTTAGACCTTGTAGAAATCAATCGGGATTTTGGTAAGTTTAGCATATCTGTTAGAATGAAGCCTTCAAAGCTTACATTTTTTTACCCCTTTTATTTCTAATATATTCATCTTATATGTAAATTATCATATTTTTTAGATGGACTTAACAAGGGTAAATTCGATAAAATACAGAGCACATTGCTATTAATTTTATTCTTTTAATATACATTCAGGTTGCAGCCAAGATTTTGCAGGATGAAGCTCATGGAAAGAATTACAAATCATATCAGGTTGAAAATTTACAACCTACTTCAAACCTAATGTTTTTCAATTCAAAGAAATTAATAAATCTTGTTATTTTTTAAAATTTAATATTTTATGTTTTAGGATAGCGGGGCAAGGAGATTGTGTGATGCCATAGTGCTTGGAGGTTTGTAGCCAATATCATTTTAAAAAAAATCATTTTACATCAACACTGCTTCCTCTTTATTTCTTTTTTTTTTCTTTTTTTTGTGTTATATTCTAATACAGGTAAGAGATGAATTAGGTATCAAAGACAATGAGAAGGCCATGGTACTCAACTTTGGTGGACAAGTAAGTTGAGGATCTTTTTATGTGATAGTTTAACTTTTCATTATTCACTAATTTCTTTCATTCATCATTAACAATATAATAATTTTGCTTTCTCTCTTAGAAGATACTCAATAAACAGAAGTAATTAGTAAAATATAATTTAGGTATTATCAAAAAAATGACCAAAATGGATGATTCCATTTAACAAATTGACCAATTTTCATAACCTTTTAACAACATAACCACCTATTTCGTAGTGGGTCTGCTGTAGAATTTTAAAAAAATAAATATGAAATACTTTTAACTGACAAAATGTTATAAAATAACTTAAACTTTAACCTTCAATGCATGAAAATTTGAAGTCACTAGGTTGGAACGTAAAGGATGAGTACTTGACTCATGGTTGGATTTTCTTGATATTCTTTCTCTCTTTTTCCATATCTACCCTTTTGTATCCAATGTAAAAAAAATATTTTTGCAAAAAGTTCTATGGCTCAGGTTTGTGGAGCACATGACAATCAGCAGGAGCTTCCTCACATTTTTAAGAAGATGGCAAATGATGTGTATACCCCTAATGTCATGGAAGCATCTGACTGCAAGCTTGGTTACTGATATATATATATATATATATATATATATATATATATATATAATATATATATATATATATATATATATATATATATATATATATATATATATATATATATAAACTAAAAAAAAAGCTTTCTTTCCTTTTGCATTCCAGACTCATCTGACATAAACTGTTTCAGGAAAAATTGTATATGAAACTGCTTTCTGGGGCTATTTTTGAAGAGGGCATTTATGTCTTTTACACATACGAAAGATAGACAGTCGGTCTATATTCTCATGTCACCCTATGAATAGATTTCCTTAATGTTTTCCAATGGAAAATCAATCATGCAACTTATTTTAAATTTTATTTACATCAGATGAAAGTTGTTCTTGTTTCCTTTTTTAAGAAAATTCCAATCTTCTTGTTGCATTGTTTACTTATACAGGAAGAGATATATGTGGCAAGGACACCTAGAAGATTGGATGTGGTTGGAGGAATTGTACACTACTCCGGAAGCCTTGTTTTGCAGGTAATTTTTTTTCTTATTTTTGAAAATGAAACAGACTATATATATAGGCTCATATGCTTTACGTATCATTTCTTTGGAAAATCAATTGGCAAAGATATTGGGAGGCACAAAACACCCTAACAACAGACAAACAAGAGGATCTTCGCTCCCTTGGAGCACGTAAGTCTTGACAACATCCCACTTACATGTTATTTCTTATTTCTTATTTCTAATTAATGCATTGGGTTTTTATAAAATTTTCATATTTGGACATTGTAGTTTGAAAAGCTATTATATATAGTATTGAAAATGGTTTTGTATTTGGATGACACTACTATAAATATAATTCAATAGACATTTTAAAGTACAATGTTGTTATATAATTTTTTACCATGAAACAAAGTTTGTTAACCATTAGAATCATTGTTTTTCTATAAGGGAATAAAATATTAATTAACTTTTTTAGATAAATTAAATGGTTGAAAATGTATTGGTTTTCCTGAAAATTTTGTAGTGATAATAGAGATAACTTACACTTAAAGGAATATAACTATGTTGGCCATGCACAGGCCCATTAAGGAACCCCGTGAACCCCAGAAATTGGAAGCTACTTGTTACTTGGTCTTTGTGAGTTTTCTTCCAACAAACACACATTCATTTTAGATGCGTCTTTATACCAAAAATGACCCTGTGATAATATATGCAGGGAACTAGGGAACCATAAACAAGCCTGGTATTGTCTTGACCGAGCAATAAGGGCAGATCCGGAAGATGTGAGTCTTAGACATCCCCGTGCCTCGATTTATGTTGAGCCTGGAAACTATCACAAGGCTGCTGAATCATGTGAGCAAATCTAGCAACTTCATCCTAAAAATCTTGAAGCATTGAGGACGGCAACAACGGTTTCGACTTTGTACATGTTTTTTGTTCTATAATAAATATTATGCAATATTAGCAATGTGTTACATTTACTTACTATTGGAATTAATGATTCTCTGTATTTAACATATTAATACAATGAATTATCTTTATTGTTTATGTTATTTGATTTTGTATTATGAGACCTTTAATGTGTTATTTAGTTTGAAAATTAGTAAAACCATCAAAAATATATAATTTTAAAAGCATTTAAATTTATGACACGCAAAAATGCGTGTCGCCTTTCTTGATGACAGGGGCTTCCTCGATACGCATTGCGTGTCATAAACACGTGCGTCGTAAGGTTACGACACGCGAATGCGTGTCGTCTTCCTTTATGATAGGGCCTTCCTTGATATGCATTGCGTGTTGTAAACGCGTGTCATATTTGCGTGTCGTAAATGAGCGTCATAAATGCGCATCGTCTCTCTTTATGAAAGGGCCTTCCTTGACGCGCATTTGCGTGTTGTCATAGCCTTTTACGACGAGCAATGAGCATCGTAAAAGGCTGTTTTTCTAGTAGTGATGGAAGATCAAGATAGAAGCTTTTTACCTTAAATAAGATGCAAATGGAACACAAGCTCTGGATCTTCTAGCTTCAAATTGAACTCCCAAGCTCCTTTCCTCTTCTCAAGCTTCACAATACACCAAAATGCACAAAAATGGCCTTAGAACACTCAAACAAGGCTAGGGTTTCAAGCTAATGTCTTCTAGAAGTATAAGGGATGATGAAGGCTGAGACGGGGAGAGATGAGTTGTTTAAATAGGGTGCAAGCCCTCAAATTTAACGTTTCACTCAAACCACATCTACTCGCCGAGTCGGTCTCCCGACTCGTCGAGTAGATCACTTAAACTTCCCGCGGATCACGAGTCTACTCGATGAGTTCGGCCCCCAACTCATCAATTCATAGAGAAAAATATAAGAATTACTTGAATTAAATGCATATTAGGAATCAGGTGTTACAGATTCGAAGGATTGTAGAAATGAATGTCGTATAAACTAAGAGGTGAAGGTTCATAAGGATTATGAGTATTTAGGCAATATTTACTTACATACATATATATATATATATATATATATATATATATATATATATATATATATATATATATATATATATGGTTATTTGCATTAAATAATGATACATATAAGTTTAAATTGTACTTTACAGCCAAATAAAAGGCATTTTGAAGAAAAGGGACTAAAAGCTTCAAAGGAGGGAACTTTAGAGGATGAAGATTTGAAAGAATAAAAATACAGCATAAACACGCTCTCTGACGTGAGTGTTAAAGACTCACGACGTGACTTGGAATATTCTAGAAGATAAGCTTCGCGTAGAAGAATCCTTGTCAAACACGGATAACCACTAAATTCACATCATGAGACATATTTGTTAATGACGTATGTACGAATAATTCACAAACTATATATATCCTTGACCACTATGATTTGAGGAGCTTAGTTGGTTTTACAGAAGTTCCAGAAGTCGAAAATTAGAGAGAAAGAAGGCCTGGAAATTGGTTTTAATGCCAAGGAAGAAGAAGAAGTCATAATTCGATTCTAGTTTGGTACTTTTAATATGTTTTTGACTATGGATTGTTTGTGTTTATTTGTTATCATGTTTAACTAAACCTAGCTGCTTCTGTTAGCTAGATGAAGCTGGAACTCATGGTTTGCTTTATTAATCTAAACTTTGCTTACTGTTTATGTCTTGTGTTTGATTGGTATGCCTAACATGCTTGATTTGATAATTAAATTGCTTAAACTTATTATTCTGTATAGTTAATAACCATTATTATGCATGAATTTGAACACCTAGTAATTTAATGAAGATTAGATTATTAGAGCTAAGATCGAACCAATCTTAGTTAAGGAATTGAATTAATAAATTAGGTTGTGTTAGAGAGCTCATGTTATGACCATAATTTATGTTTGTCAACCCAATCTTACATAGCTACAATATTATTCAACAATTGATTATGTGTTAAATTATCTTTGACCATACATAGATCTACATGAGTTAATTGATTGTAGTAAATTTAGAACTGAATAATTAATAATGTTTTTGTTGAAAAATGTTCTTATGTAACCTTGTATGTGACCATAACTGAAATAAGATGAACTGTTTTTATACAATCTAACAAATATTATCAGTTATTTCAGGTTGCATGAATGCGTGATAAAACGGAAAATACGAAAACACGCGAATGACGAAAACACATATGTATGACTAAACAGTTTCAACAATATATATATATATATATATATATATATATATATATATATATATATGTATGTATTATATACATATGTATGTATTATATATGTATATATGTATTATATATATTGTATATATGTATTATATATATGCTGTATATGTGTTGAATAGTCAAACAAAGAGGAAGTCAAACAAAGTCAAGGAAATAAGAAGCCAAATGAAGACCCACGTTTTTTGCTCCTACTAGTCTACATCAACTTGCATACACCAGCCACTTACTTTCAAAATACACTCAAAGTGAAGAAGATATTTGTTTCTCTCATATATGTATACGTGAGTATGTAGTGTGTGTGTGTGTGTTCATTTGTAATATTGTAACACTTCTACAAACTACAAACTCTCCCAAGAACATCACAAATCTTCATCTTCCTCAAGAACAAAGACAAATCCCTGGAGCTAAATGAAGAACACCAAGATCAAACAAGAAGCCAAGTGAAGAACACCAAGATCAAACAAGAAGCTAAATGAAGAACACCATCAACCATCTTCATCTTCTTCATTGAAACTAAAGGTTTTTCATCTTCAACACCTTTGATCATCACATCATACACCACCGAACACTTTCCTTACATCAAAACAGCAAAACACAACCATGAAACAACCCAAAACCTTCTGCATCAAGATCAACCACAAAACCCATCACTATTCATCATCATCTTCGTGAGAAATTTCACCACCTTTATCACCTTATATAAACCTCCTTCCAACCTCTAAACAACCTTGAAAACATCCTCAAAACACCTTAACACCATTACCATAGCCAAAACATCACAAACAAAACTTACCTTCAAATCACAAAAATCCTGAAATTGACTCTGACACGAACACGCCCCGTGTTAAAAACCATGGCAAAATCAACACGCCCCGTGTTGCCCTCTGATTGCCGTCTTCATACTTCTGAACCTCAACACGCCCCGTGTTCAGGAAGGCTAAATCAACACGCCCCGTGTCAGCATCAGCATCATGAACACACCCTGTGTTCAGCAAGGCTAAATCAACACGCCCCGTGTCAACATCATTCTTCAAGAAAACCCTCCAAAACCCTCCTACACGACCCGTGTCACTTGTGCCTTATCTTACACGACCCGTGTGCATGTTTTTACCCAAAAATACTTCAACTACAAATACATAAACCCATGTATTTTGTACCCTTTTGTAAACACTTGTTTTAAATAAAATCGAGCTTTAAATGAACTTTTTGTTACTTATCCAATGCCGGATTGATCTTTGAACAAATATCGACCAGTCGCTCCAAGAGTCCCAATATCGACCAGTCCATTCAAAGAACAAATATCGACCAGTCGCTCCATGAGTCCAGTTCAGTCAATTTACGAACCTACTTGATATATATTTATATATTTATATACTTTATTATAGCTTTATGTCATTTAAATATAGTCATTTATATTATTTATAGCTTTATGTCATTTAAATACAGTCATTTATATTATTTATAGCTTTACGTCATTTAAATATAGTCATTTATATTATTTATAGCTTTATGTCATTTAAATACAGTCATTTATATTATTTATAGCTTTACGTCATTTAAATACAGTCATTTATATTATTATAGCTTTCAGTCATTTACAGCTTTCATATTTATACTTATTCTTCAATTATTATTCTTTATATATATATATATATATATATATATATATATATATATATATATATATTGTAACGTCATAAAATTTCCAACCAAAAATTTTCATTTTTACAACCATAAAGACATGAGTAATTAGTTTAGATTTCCAAAATAACGTCGTAGTCTCAAACGATTACATATCAAAAGATAAAATAGTTTCCCCGAGTGTGTGTACGATCACGCTGGCGCCTTCCCACGGTCCTCACTCGTACCTGAAACACATAAGCAACAACTGTAAGCATAAAGCTTAGTGAGTTCCAAAAATACAACATACGCACATACGCCTTTCCAGGCCTTGACCTTCCGGTCCATGTGTTCAGGGGACTTCCGACCCGACTGGGTAAACCTTCCGGTCCTACCCACATCAACCTTTACAGTCCATATGACCACGCCTTCCGGCCCACATCAAACATATCATACATGACACATATAGCAAATAACTTAACACACATAAAGCATATATTCCATATCATATTCGACCTTCCGGTCACATAGTGAAAACCCTTCCGGGTACAGTATAGTGAGAAAACTCACCTCGTATGCCTTGCTAAGTTGCTAATCGAAAATCCTGAAATCACTCGGGCTCGAACTCTCGAGCTGAAATCCTCCTACGATATTTATATAAATCTATAATTATTACTTGTACCACTAAGGTGGACCATTCAACTCAAGTCAACACCGGTTGACCCGGTCAGCAGTCTTTAGCTAATTTGGACTAGACTCGGCGAGTGCACAATAGTGACTCGGCGAGTCTACGCGTTTTTACATTCTCTCAAGAATTTTCCCTTTGACTCGTCGAGTACTCCCCTGACTCGACAAGTTCCACCTGGGCCTGAATCGCAGGGTCACCGCGACTCAACTCGCCGAGTCTAAGGCCAACTCGGCGAGTCCCATCCTGACTCGGTCCACCTGTCAAAACCTTTCCAACTCTCTGCGACTCACTGAGTCGCTCACAACTCGGTCCAGTCTACACACAAGATGGTCTCAAGGACAATCTTCAAGTGACTCGTCG